TCCTTAGCACATCAGCTTGTCTCTTTGAACGCATTACCTGACGTCTTTAAAGTGACAAAACACAGAAAAGTGTGTCCTTAGTCTTTTGTTCATCAGACCAGTAAGAGTCACGAATATGGTAGAGACAGGGTAGGCCCTTGGGAAGTATCTATTCTAGCTTTACTTTTTAATTTCTCCTTTCTTTACCTCAACTAGCAGAATATAGCTCAAATCAGCTCTGTGCTATCCAGTATGGCTCTCCTTTATCAACAGAGAATCCTTGGGGCTACCAAGTGCAGGTGTATTTTGTGGTAGATCATCCACAACAACCCTGATTCTTCAGCCCAGTCTGTCTGTCCAAGTACCTTATTAGGTGTTCACCATTTTTAATACAGGTGGTCTTCTCTGGGAATTAACAGAGATATGTCTTTCTCCTCAGAATGTAGACATCAGTGCTTGAGAACCATTACCAATGTGTCTGCCAGTGTGCAGGAACATAACAGAGAAGGATATTTATTATAAGAGACCTAGATCAAACAGGCAAGCTTTAATGAAAATTTGAAAAGCTTTTGGTTCAGGAGACACCTTCAATCTTTTCTAAAAGCATGCTTAGTAATCTTGGTTTTGTAGTTTTGTATGTGAAGTTCCCTCTTCTCCCTCGCCATATAGAGTGGCATTACATAGTTAAGAGATTGAAAAGGTTTTGATGTGATGAGATGGGTGATATCTTAGGTAACTAGGCCCATGATTTAAATGGTGTCCTACCAATGCATAATCTGTCAGGGAAATGTTGTCATAGCACTTTCTGTTGCTGTTGAATGCTGAAAATTCTGGAATGTAAGTGGTTTCTCCCCCTGCTAAATGAGTTGCAGTCATCACATAGAATCAGAAGTGCATCCATTTTGGAGCCAAGTCCTGCATCTGAAGCATGGCCTTATCATCTGTAGATACATGACTAGCCATTTTGCAGCACTGCTATTTGACCATCCAGTAGCACTGAAGAGTTCATGAGATACCCATGGTTACCTTGGCAATAAAGTGATGAGATAAGCTCAGTAGAATGGGAATTTTTAGAGGTGGTGAGATTTTCAAAGTTCTTTCCTTTTTTATGAGTGTTAACTCATTTGTTACTGAGATTCACATTTAAACAAACAAGTAAGAATGCTTATAGTAGGCTGAGGAAAGTTAAAGGATGTCAGTGTGTTTTTTAACCACCCCTTTTGAAACATTCTCTAGCATTTTGTACTCCTTATGCTTTTTAAGTGTGAATAATTTAGATTCTTTCACCTCCTGATTAGAATGTCCCTTCTGTGTTCCTTCTTCAGAATTTAGCTTTCTAAATAAGAAAATAAACTAATCTTATATTAAATGCTATAACCTGTACCTCAGTGTAAGTACATGTACATAAACTTCCAAGTCTAAACCAAATCTAACTATGCTGGGCATAGATGGCACTTAAATACCACTGTTTATTATAATTTAATTTATTCGAAGCAAATTGACCATGTTTACATAGAAAAAAAAATATCTTAAAATCACACATGACAACTCTGAAAAACTCTGTTAAACAGCTTAAAATTATGGCTTCACATTTGTAATGCACTTGGCAGGGTTTGGGTCATGAAATCACACTTCTTAGGTGTTCAGAGCAAAAGGAGGTCTGTGGTACCCTTGTTCAGTACATACCTGTGTATTCCAGGCTATAATGATACTTGCCTGCAAGAGATTTGCAAAACAGCTAAAGCTGTGACCTGTACCTTTAATTCATCTCAGCTAGTTCCATGATGATGAAGTGACCTATCATCATTACAACCATACAAGAGCATGTATTCCTACCAGAAAGTTTAGCCACTGCAGGGGTGACTGGACTAACATCTCCAGCAGTGCACAGACTAAACTATAGGGTTTAGTTAGAGAATGTGGAAACTGACAACAAATTATTACTTCTGGTCTTTTTCCAGTTTTCAAGTGCAAACATACCAAAGTTTATTTCAAATCTGAGCCGGTCCGACATTTAGCAATATAGATCAAAGAAGAAATGAAGGCCTCCCATGCTTATTATTTCAATATGATGTCTGTTCTAATAACGTATATGAATGCCTGTGATAGACTAACTAGTAGGAATTCTCTGGTTCTGTAGTTTAGCCTTAAATACATACATATATTTGTAAATTAATCATATTGTCGTGGTTTCAGTTCCTCAGAAAGCTGAGTGTTTCAATCCTTTCTTTAATCTTAGAAATATGGTGGCAGTCTGCCAGCACACTTTCAGATAAACAGTCCACTTCTCGTTTAGAAGCCATAGAATCACTGATGTTGAAGGGGGAAAAAATCAACAGAAAACAACACCAGTTTTCTCTCTCTCTCTCTTCCCCAAAATGCAGAACATTATTTAAATAAGTTAGAGTTGTTCTGGTATTGTCCCTCACTCTTAATTAGAAATAATAAAAGCCATCTGTGCAAGGTGAATTTTGATAAGATCTCAGCTTTTAAGTGTTTGTTGATCTTGTGTGTACCAATTTTCAAATGTCTTAATAGCTCCAGGATGGCTATCACACTGAGTAGGCTCACTGATTTCCATCACGCTCTGTGCTGTTGAATGCAATTTACTTTATGCGTGGTTATATTTTGACTGAAAATTTAAAAACACACTATTCCTTGCAGTACAATAAGTATTTAACTGGATGGAACTGTTTCCATTTGGAGAAGGGTTGGTTTTTTTCATAGCACCAGCTCCTCGCAGTTTGGGATTAAACACAATTAAAGTAAGGAGTTGTTTCACATGAATCGCATACTGGACAGCATTTCTGTGGCTGCTATCCAACAGCAGGATATTCTACAGTCTCAGTTTGCCTGTTTTGGGGGTCCCATGTTCAGGATAAAGAGCCCACCCCCTGACCCAGAAGGAGAATGCTCAGAAGTGATTGTTTCAAAGCCTGGAAATGGAAGACAGGATTTCTTTTCTTTCAACCTGTGTTTTCAGTCAATTAAAATTTGTACTCAGGGCTTTTCGGTTTGAAGCCACCCCTGTGTCTGTGATGAGCAATCCTTCTTGTTTGTGCAGTCATTCATTATCTCCATTACCAAGAGGAGAATAGAGGACAATTACATTGTTTGGACGAATCAGAGTGTTAGGAGGAGTATTTATCATGGTGGCAGAGCGCAGCACCTGACAGCACACGATTGATGGCCAGGAATGAGTGTGAGTGGCCAAAGCAGCCTCATATGATGCAAATTACTGACTGTGGATTCCAATTTATCCTGTTCATTTTTCTTGCCTTTGCTGAAGACTATTAGTGGTTTTTGAAGCAGTGAAGGGGTCATTACTAATATGGGCTAGAAGCAGGAGGGGGAAGGAGGGGAAAAGCCTTCTGTAATTACACAGCCTTCAAGAAAAGGCTGCAGGCCTAGCCAAAAAAGTGTCAACACTTAGCAATCAGATAAATTTATTTTCTTTTTATCCTTAACCCATATTAACTCAACATTATCATCTTTCTTTGTTAATATTTGCAGAATATTAAAAGCTTGACTTCTATATTCATACAGATCTCTTTAACCCTTTTTGCTGTGATGTTGCTTTGCTAAATGTCAATTCGTCAATAGCATTAAACAGTGCCTGCTTTTAAAAGTGTAGATAATGGAAAATTAAATATTCAGCCTCCTTAAAAACTAATTCCAGATGACTGATTATTTCTTTTACAGAATGGTTGGTAGGGCATTGGAAAAATATGAGAAAAAAATTATTGAAGCAGAGGTACAAGAGGTTTCTGTGCTAAAACATAATGTCAGTACAGGAGAAAATCAGTTTTCTTTGGGGTGTTTAGGTGTTGTGATCTGTAAGCAGCGTCAAAACCCCCTGAAAGTTTCATTTTGCTGTATAATGAATGATGTGCATTTAAAACATATGCATATTTAATTTAATGCCTATTCAAATCCTATTTAGGCAGCTCTCTGGGGGTTATGCATGAATTAATGATTTCCCAAAGCTTCTCCTACCTATCATGAGAGAGCATATTGATTATGTGCACAGTAGGCGTATAAGGTTTCCCCAAAAACTCTTTGTGAAGGAAGGAGAGAGGCAAACAAGCAGGCAGGAAATAAGTTTAATGCTGTTTAGTTTTTCATCTGAAAGTTAAACTTGAAGCCATGAACTTTGATTTCCCCCTTAGTCCTAGTAATCCACTTCTTGCCCCATAGAAAGTTCAACACATATATTGGCAATAAACCGAAGAGTAATTGAATTGGTTGTCATGACTCCTAAGAACCAGTCCTGAATATACTGTTTCTACAAGTTTAAAATCTATACATTCACTATGTTCTGTTCAGCTAAATAAGAACTGGCACAACTTTGTCCTTGACTGCACAGAAAGATTAAACTGCTAAAACACAAGGGCCAGGGTTGTTTGAGTTTTTTTCCCAGATATATTTTTTCTAGTTTCTGTGAAAAAAAAAACCAAAACCAAAACCAACAAAAAAAAAAACAAAAACAAACAAACAAAAAAAAAACAAAAAAAAAAAACAAAAAAAAAAAAAAAAAAAAAAAAAAACAAAAAACAAAAAAAAAACAAACAAACAAAAAAAAAAATGGAAAAAAAAACCAGAAAAAAACCATAGACAAGTTTGAACCACACAGAGGCTCTCTGGTAATGTTTGAATTCAGTTAGAGTTTTCTCCTTTATTCTTCTTAAAATCCAACACATGGGTTCAAGAAATAAGAAATCTGTAGTGATACATTTGCATATAAAGCATACTGTTTAATGACATATCTTTTTTGCATATACATCTTGTTTGTATGAACCAGCTTCAAAGTGAATGGCAGGAGGATCTAGGTAGCTAGAATCTGTCAGCCAATATTTTTTTTCAGCTTTCACCATGAGCTTGTATTTTTAAAAATTCTCCTAGCTTTAAAACAGGTGATAATAGCAAACCTTAAGGATACAAACACACAAAAGATGGTATCATTCTGCTAGTGCATCTTTCTTAACTTCTGATTTGTCTTTTAAAACGTTTCTTTTTATTAGCATCCATATCCTTCAGAGGAGCAGAAGAAACAGTTAGCCCAAGACACGGGACTTACAATTCTACAAGTAAACAACTGGTAAGTGACCCTACAATCAATATCTTTACTCCCATGGCTAAACTGCAATTTCTAAATAATTGTTTACTTTTTCATTTCCGAACCAAATGCAATTGACTGGGAAAATTCCTGTGTTCATTCTTTTTAAGCATGAAAGTAGCATTTAGGGAATGGTAAAGCTAACCTAGGTAAACTGTTTTTCAAGATCATTCTCTTTCCACTTGCAAAGTGTCCAGCTGAGCCTTGGATTCTGTTCAGGTCTTTCCCATTGAAAACACCTGAAAAGCCACATAGTTTTGCACAGTCATAGTATTTAGGTTATCAGTGTGGTAATGGTTGGCTTTGTTTAGGTTTTGAGTGGTGATATAGATGCAAGCATTTTAATAACTCTTAATAGGAATTTAATCACTTTGATATTTTGCATGGTGGAGAGAAGACTTCCTTATTTTTCACCTTCTGATAGGGTAGATTATTGTTATGGTGGTGTCTGAACCATCCATCCTTTGTATGTGGCTTAGCCTAGAACCGAAGAAAAGGAGGGTAGAGGATTAAATAAAATGATCACAGTGGCCAAGAAATGATATAGGAATTACTTATCAAAATACTGGCCCAGGTTATATCAGCAGCTTAATTTTGTTCAGTACATTCTCGGGGTGATGTTCAGATTAATTGAACTGACAGTTCTCTTTCAAAATTCAGGGAAAGTATTTGCACGGATTTCAGGCCTTATACAAACTTAATTACATGGAACTCCATTTTATCATTCTAATTCCATGTAGCAGAGGTTGTATTTACAAATGAGAAGTCTCTGCCTTTATTCACAGCTTTCCTTAATATATTTATCAAAGCAGGTTCATTTACAAAGTGCTCTATCTGTGGGATACAGGCAGGCAGACATTAACAAAGCTTTTAGGTTTATCAGGCGCGCTGCCTGATGAGCTACCCGAGGGTCAATTGATTTTGTGGTTCTGTGATTCATTTTTTTCTCATTTTTCTAGGATCACAATGAGAGACATGCTTGGAGAATTAGCCAGTTTGTCTGCCTTATCTGTCAGGCAATTTTTTTTTTCCCAGGGAAGTCAAGCTACTTAAATTGGCCACAGGAACTGCCGTTATCTGACTTTAATGCACCCTATAGTGTGGATAGCATTTCAATTACACTAGTAACCAAAGCTTAGCTGCAGCCCTTTTCATGCCTAGTGCTGTACAGAAAGTGATGTGCCTACCTACAGAAGCAGAAAATTGAGTTGCCTTGCTTCTGTCAGGGTGATTAATGCAGAAATAAACTGCTAACCTGAAAAGAAAGGCAGAAAGGAAGGATATACAATAGAGAGACTTGAATTCACTTTAATTCTCTTCTGAAGATTGGAACAAAGTACATTTAAAGATACCCTTTGGACTGAAAATGTGGAGTCTAGGCTTTAATCTCAGCAGAAGGAGAGAGGTGTGTTTTCATTTTGACTTGTGCTGTATATTATACACATACATATGCAAATCTTCATTACAGCAAGGACAAATAATATACGTTCCCGCAGGTATTGCAAATATTCTTTGCTTATTTTACAACATGCATTTTGCTACCAATAATTGCCCAGGCAAATAGTTAATATGTTCTTTTTCCTGGTATAAGATGGTAAATTACAGAGGAACTATTTTTTGCTTCCTGAAAATATTCCATTTAAAATCCATTTAAAATAATTTAAATATGCTGACGATATATCTGTATTGCATCAGGTGCAAATGTATATGTTTAGTCATGGTGGTATGAAGAGAGGGTGACTGGAAAACTAGGACTACTGCTATATAGATTTCATCATTTCTGTTTTTGACTTCATTGCAAAAACACCCACTTGTTCTCCTCCCTGTTCATTTGGTTTTGAAAGCCTGTCCTATCACCTATGTGTTTGATGTCGACATCAGAGGTAAAAGAGGTGGAACTGCTTTTAACATCTCCTGAGCTATTGCCAGACAAAAGACTGGTCCTCTTCTCAATAGCAGATAACTTTTCATATTAGGTGATTCCTGGTAACAGATAGTAAACACATCTGAGTAAGTGAAGCTGCTTCTGTTACCTTATAGCCCTGTCTTAAAACATTTGCAAGCTGTTTCTTGATGCTGACAAATTTTTAGTCTTGGCCTCTTGTTTTATTGCAATTAGCTTACCTAAACATTCCTAATGTCCATTGTTAAATCTTTTTGCTCACAAGTTTATCATCATGTCTTCATAAAATTTCAGGCAGCATGTCATCACATGGTGTAAAAACTAAACACCAGATTGCAACCACAACATTAAAAAAAAAAATCTTGTGCTTTTTCAAAGTGCAGTGCTTATGAATAATAGGTACCCAGACTGCTTTGATTCTTTTTCTTCAGTGTATTAGCAAATGCTCTATAACACTGAGCTCCATGGAATGAAACGGAAATAACTAAGCAAATATCATCCATTGTGGTCATCATAGTGAATTGTAAAGGTAATGATAATGACACACAAAATGTTACCAGTTACTCTAGGCAGAATTTTTATTAGCATCCAGCATTGACTTAGCTCTGCTTCCACATGAATGATGGTAGACCCAGCCCTCTACCCTCCGTCTCCTAGGGTCTGGAGATGTCCCTGGGACTTCAAAACCTTATCTTTATTAACTGTAGTTTATTCCAAGGACACGTTACTCAGTAGGAATTCAGTGAATATCACATCTGTAGCCTGGTTATTTCATACTCTTCTAGAAAATGGAGGCTAAAAGGGTTCAAAGGCTTCTATGTAAATGTAATCATTTTGAATAGCCCAGCACCTTTGTTCTAAAAATAAATACACGATTTAAAAATAAATAATTAAGTGGGTTCAAACCAGAAGCTTACATTGCTTTTGAGGATATGCACATTTGATCAGCTGTTGAAAGAGTTGCAGTTCAGCTGTGCTGAGCTAAGATTTAGTGACAGGGGCACCCAGGGATCAGACTCAAAGGCAGAACCTTAGCTTTTTCCTTAGTGAACAAGGAATGGGTATCAGACTAGATGACACAGAGAGATAATACACAGTACCAAAAGGCTTGAGTGCTTTCCAGCAGGGTAGAAGACTGCATGGCCGATCTTTAGGTCAAGATTCAATGAAGAGCATTAAGAACAATTGTTAAGTACATTCTCACTTGGCAAAGCATGTCAGTTTATGCTTATCTTTGGCTTGCAATTATTGAAGATAATAAAATGTATGCATGCATCTAAAATTAAGCAATGACTTTACTATTTTGTTGAAAAGTATCCTTAGTATGCTGGGGGGAAAGTAGTCTGGCCTGCCACGGCCAGGAGAGGCTGGTTTTATATAAGGCTGCATGACAAGATAAAAAACAGGCAAAACTTTTTCAAGATTTCCTCATCCTCACTTCCCACTCCATATCCTCCCACCTTCCTAAATTACCCTTTTTACATCTCAATTGATGGAAAGACAAAGAAACCACTGTAACTGAGCAGAGCTGCAAAGTGAGGCAAAAATTGTAAGGGGCAAGACTGATAAAAGCAAGTCTGGTCCAGTCTGAATGTATGAGGCAAAAATCAGCAGAAGAAAGCTAAAAATGCACATTGACAGTGAAGGACAAAGAGAATTATAAGCATCATTGCTGCAGTCTGTTAAAGCATTTGCAGCAGACAAAAGATACAAGAAGAATTGACAAGTAGAATAAATAGAAGAGGAAGGATTAAAAAATAGAAAAATTATTAATTTTTTCATAATTATTTTACACAGTGGAGCACATGCTCTAGTATTCTGAAAGTTAGGAACTTGTATACATCTTTCTCATTGTTTTGAATGAAGATCAAGCATATGATTAAAAGTCTTTGCTAAATAAGAGTATTTTTTCTGAAATCAGGCTGAAGACAGGAATGGAGAGCTCCTTGAACAGGAATCACATTTCCAGACATAGGTCCAAGTTCAACCATGTGTGTGTGTGATGTTGTATTTGAAAACAGAGTGTGCACATATCACAGAGGGAATACTTAATGTGCTTGAAGCTGGCAGCATGCTTGAGCACCCTGTTAGATTGTGGTGAGAGAGAGAAGGTAAAAGGTTTAAATGACAAAGAAAATAGTTGTGAAAGGTTTAGGCATTTCTCCAGATTGCTGGTACTCTGTAGTGTGCTTACTATTAATGCTGTAACTTGTTGTGTAAACCCTTCCAAGCAGAATTCTGCTCACATATCTGATAAGACTTTGAAATTCAGAATTTGGCATCTCCAGGTCCAGGTAACATTTTATAAAGAATAACTGATTTTAATGAGAAGGGATAGAATTATTTTTATTTCTTTGTCTGAGAGGAGATAGGAGAGAGACAGATACTCTGACAGCAGGTAAGAAGCCCTACGCTCTAGGTTTTTAGGGAACTAAAATCGAAGGTTTAGGAAATAGGCTTAATTTGAATATTAACTCATTGCTAACTGATTCACTATTTTTAAAGAAATGTAGTGAGAATACATTTGAGTTTAGTAAATTAACATGTCAAAAGGAATAGCCATTTTGGAGACAAAATATAGCAAGGCCTTATGGAGGCCTTACTATAGCCACGGTCCTACAGAAAATAATGAGAAATTGAGAAAAATGTTAGAAGTATGCACTAGAAAATGTAATTTGTTTCTTAAGTTAACCTTATTTGGGATTGAAGAAACTCAGCTATCTTTTTACCTCTCTTTCCTTGTATTTCTGTAAAGTCAATATATGTAGAACCTTTTAGACACTATACAGTTTCAGTTTCAAAATTATTTTTTATTTTGTTTATAGGCTTTATATCATTATCCATTCAGTCTAGATATATATGACAAATCTCAAATAATGAAGATGCTCATGAATCTCTTGGTCTTACACTGCCATTTGGATAGTGTTCAAGTTTAGCTGAATATTAAAACCTTAGGAGGATTATCCAAATGATATCTGTAGATCAGTGGTTTTCAACCTGTAGTCTGCCATCTGGGAATTTCTGGATTATTCCTAAGCGGCTGTAAAATTTGACTAAAATCCCAGCTGACTTCAGTTGCTTAA